GAGTGACCGAGGCGTGATTGCGTGCCTCCAATTCAAGTGTGATTTTCACATGTGAGCAGTCCAGGTTTCCGCGAACAGCCGTAAACCGAACATTTAGCAAAATGCACCAAAAGTCCTTACCTTCTTTGTAGGGAGGCTAAGTGGCGGTGCACCTTAACAGTGTTCCGGATAAAGCCTCAACTCTCGCTACCATGCCAACGGATACGGTCTTAGGCGACAAAACACTGAGGCTGTATACCAAGAGTGCAACTGGAGATTGATGAACAGTAAAACTCAAGGCACAAATTAGACCGAAACCCACGAAGAGCGGTAAGCAGGGGGTGTGTGCTTGCCGGATCTACCTTTCAGGGGACTGGATTAAATTTTTCCGCAAATTCGGAACGTGTCGATAAAAAAAACTGATTAACGTTTTCTTGGGCTTACCCTGCCTTTAATCAGCTAATCCTACCTTTTATAGCCACATGAAACAGGAAGCACGACTATGCACGCGTGAACAGTATGGACAGTTCACACGGATAAGAATTTTCGAGTTTTATACAACACTTTTCTGGCGCTCGGAACTCTCGTCCGAATCGCTAACCATCGGCAAATAAAAACGCGCAGCTCGTGTCGGATTTAAATTCAATTCTACGGAATCTATGGATAATAAATGGCTGTAAGAGTCCTTCATTCCTCCTCACTAGAACATAGCCTCATTTTCAATCGCGTGGTGGCTTAAAGTTTAGTGGACATTCAGATTTAGCGTCGACTACAAAAAGCGTGACATTCAAACAACTACGTCATAAACAGGAGTATCGATTTGCCACCCGCTTATCGAATTCTGCGACGGAACTACAACTTAAGACCTATAAATTACTTTACCTCCACAAAATTACCGAAGCGTCGTACATGCGTCTAGTTAAGGCTTGTCAAACACTGGGAGGAAATAAACCGATCTCCATCTAACGAAATAAACCAAGGGCAATACAGATTGTCTCGTTTTGTCAGCCGTCAAGTCTGGACTTTCGATCAACTATTCGAAGGAAGTTAGTGGTGTTAGTCTTCAGCTCAACTACTGGACTGATCCACAGTGGCACTGGTCGGAATGTCAGCAAGACTCAAATAAGGAGACCGACTGAATTTCTTACAGCCGGGCCGCACCCACACGTGACCTAAAGCACCAACTGTAGGAAAGCCCACAAAACGCCAGCGGATTACACACAGTCGCGCGTTAAACACACCACAGGCGTGACCCGAGCGGATGACGCCGGCGACATAGGCTGGGTAGAAGGCGAAAGAGATGCAGACCGCAGACGTCGGAGCGCTGGATAATGCACAGTTTCGCTTATATTATTAAGCTGGTTTCAATATGACGAAATCGGGATACAGAAAAAAATGCACCCAAGGTTGGTAATGGTTTATAACCACCGAGAATGTAGATAGCTGGATTATCATGCGTCGATAGGGAATAGATAAATATGTACGTATTTTATAAAGTATACAGATTGAAATACGGGCATCCTAAGATATTTACTTAAAAAATGTATTCTCTTCTTAATAAATACGTATATATGGAACTGCACAATGTTCCCCGTAGGCCATCTGGTCTCAGTAACGGTATCGAGGCTTATGAAGGGCATTGGGGCATGAGATCACATAGATACCTCGAAAGTTGGACGTGGAAGTTAATTGCAGCAGGTTTAAAGTTGCAGTCATGACTAGCAGCTTCGACGCGCTTACATCAAAGTTTGACTAGGAAACATTTTTGGGCCATCATTTCCTGAACGGTCAGAGTTCTACTATGAAAATTATTAACAAATTCACCGCCAATTATATGATATTCAAATCCTGTACAAATAAATCAATGTGACGGTGAAACCCCTGGTCTATATGTATACGCCGGATTGCATCTACGAAAGAAAACGTTCCGATGACAGCCCGACTGATATTTTCTAATTCACAACCAAATTTAAAGCATACTGAAAGCATTCCAGCATTTGTCTTTGTCGCTCAGCAAATCATCTTCGCATTTAGTTTCTGTCAGAAAAGTAAGTGGAGGCATCTAGTGGTTGGGGTATGGTAGCCTAGACCGCTAAGCTAGCATAGGCTTGTGGTTGAGGATAAAGACCTCGACAGCGATTACAAATTTAGCTAAGAGACTTAGGGTATACATCAACTCATCACTCAATGACACTGAACCTCGAAAAGGTAACGTCAGTGACTGTTCATTACCTCTACTCGCGCCTTTAATGCGACTCGGACCAAGTTATTAAAGCAAGGGTGTGCAATCACGGTTTAACGAAGTGGCTAACGATTTTGGAAGGCATTGATTGTCAGTCGCCATACTGCCGACATATGGAAACCAGCTTATTACTCATCTGTGTTGCTATGGCGATTCTTTTCAACGAACATTGGAAAACGCATGAATGCATGTTTCGGAGTCAGTGCCCGAAAGTTACATAGAGACTTACCGTAAATGAATGCGACTGAGAGACGGCGGGATGATTGTGGTGAGATGGAATCATGCCC